TAAAACAAGCATTCACATGCCATGAAAATGAAATGCCAGAAATCCATATAATAAAGCTTCATTTTAAATTTTATACTAAATTGATATTCAAGACTAACGCATCTTGAACATCATAAGACGATTCTGGGGATCATCCTCACGCCCATACGAGTTGCCTTGTTTGATAACTTCTATATGTGTTCGAATTTTTGTTTTTACTCTGCCTTATTGGCCACGATTGTCCATGCATTATTCCAGATCAAACCCGAAGTCCCTCGCACCATCACGATTTACCCTTGTCTTTATTTTGTATACTCTCTTTCTTCTTCAATCCAAATTACCCGAGAAACAAAAAATTCATAAGAGGAAAAAGAATGTTAGAAGACAATAACAGCTAAGTATGGAATATGAAAAGATAAATGTGGAATAGAAATAATTATCTCCCATAAGAGGAAAACAATTATAATGGCCTCGTCTGGGAGGTAATTATCTCAATACATTTCCTTAAAGAAGAATTTGCACCCTGATACTATCAATTATATTATTCATGGTCCGTGCGATGCACGAGATGATATATTTTTAAAAACTTTTTTAATATTGAATATTAAATTTAATAGACTTGGTATATATGTAACAAATGTAAACAGGTCGACAAATAAAAAAAATTCATAAATTATTGAATATTGTCTTCTAAACAACATTTTGGTTTGATTTTGTGGCGAATCATCGTCACTAGAGACTAATAATTTAAATAATTTTAGCATATGGATTCGATAATAATAAATAAAAAATGACAAAATATTTACCTCTTTATCCTTTACATCTATTTCCCATTACTTGGTTTCGAATTTTCTTTCAAATATACAAACAACCCTCAATGTCAAGTATAGCTTGTTTTTTGGAGAAACCGATTTAAAAAAAACACTACACGAGCGGCATATGATATGGTGAAAAAAATGAAATTAGTCATATATAGATTAGGGATTGAAAAAACTGCTAAAAGATGTTGTAAATGATTTGTGTAATTGAGTTCTTATATAGATGTCATAATTATTTATGTTAAATATGATATATGGTTCTAATTAAAAAAATCATTCACCGACTTATTCTAAAATAAGATAATAATAATCTTTTAAATGAAATATATTTTACTATCTGCTTAGATTTTTACTAACATAAAATGCGAAATATTCTAGTCCTTTTAGAATTATTTTAACCGAATTTCCTTAAAATTATTTCACAAAATTTTGATTTTTTTTTGTAGATATAATTGAATCTGTTGTAATCGAAATATAAAATAATTTTTAAGATGATATATTTTTTGTTATAAGTGTGTTCCCTAAAGATTTGGTAATAATGTATTACCAGTCAAAAAACAATGTATTAGCTTTTTTTATTATCCGATGGCATGTGAAATGGAAATTCTATGATATGTGGTTTATTTATTTAGATGTGTTTATATGAAACAATATAGGTAAAATTAAATTTGATTGATGTAGATTTATATATCATTCGTTCATATAATTATTGAATTAAAAAAGTTCGTTATTTATTAGTATGTAAATTTGAATGTTGGATTGATAATTGGTCAAATATGTAAGTCAAAATTTTGGATTACATTTGTGTTAATTTGTGCCATTTTATGCATGTTAATTACAAATGACAAGATTTTTATAAAAGAATATTCCGATGTCTGTTTGATTATAAAGGCCCAATGTGTTTGTAAAAAAAACATAATAAATTTTAAGTTTTATGTAATTGATTATAAATAACCAAAGTTTAAGCAAATTTTGCATAGAATCTGTACCATAAATAATTTAAAATGTTGCAAAAAGGTATACGTAATTTATGCCATAAATAATTTAAAATTAACAAATAATATATATTAAATACGTGAAGATCAAAAGTCATTAAAAATGTGAATTTAAATCGGATTACTAAAAGAATTAATCAAAGGCTTTGACCCATTTTTTAATCAATTTTTCACAAATGATTTTTCCATCAACCTCTTTCAATGTATATAGATATATAGATTCTATTAATTTTCATAATATAAGTTTATTTATTTTATTATTTCTTACCATCGTGCGCCATTTTAAAATTGCATGTTTCATAATATTAGGTAAACTATGTCGAATTGAGATCCATCTGTTTGTTTCAATTAAATTACAACAAAAAAAGGGATAAATAGAGTTATGCAATATTGAATCTCTTTCAAATTTAAAAAGACAATCGTTCTTTTCTCTCCCTTGACCCGACGAAAACCCTAGCTCTCGACATCCAATCTCGCTGCGATTAGCCTTCTCCGGCGAAGGGGCGGCTCAGGCCAGTGGTCACCCTCGACCGCTCAGCCGTCCCCGCTATCGCGCCTCTTTGGATTTTGCTGCTAAGGGTCGCTCTGATGTGTGCTCTGCCCAAGGTCGCCGGCAAGCTGTGACTGCGGTGGTGTTCGATCTGAGGCGGGTGGTTTCCCTGGAAGCCGGCGATCTTTGATTGGATGGTTAGCCACTCAATTGCAGCGGGTCGATGCTTGGAGGTTCATCGGTTCAGGATGGGCTTCTGGGTTTGGATTTTGGGGCTCGAGCTTACGATGGCAGCGGCCTGCGGTGGTGTTGAGAGGCGTATTGGTCGGCGGGCGGTTCGAGGCTCCGGCGGCTGTGATGTATTCCGTCCGGGTGCGGGAGTAGCAGGTACGGGTAGCTTTCTTTCCATCTGTTTCTCTGGTGTTGGGAAATTAGTGGGCCCGGCGCCTATTAGCTCGGCTAGTGGTGTTAGGCGAGCTAGTGCGGGGCTGTCGCAGGGAGCTGGTCGTCCTCTCGGTCGAAGGTGGGTTGATTCGGGTTAGTCTCGTGGTCCGGGTTTGGCTTTTGTATAGGCGTTCGGCAGCAGTTTCGGAAGTTGGGCCTCGGGCTTCGGACCTTTCTTGGATTGATTGGTTCTCTACTGGTTCAATCTGCTTTGTTTGCTGGGGAAGGGCACTATGTGTCGTCTTTAGATGTTTTGTTGTCTTTTTAGTTTGTGTTTTTGTTTGTATCGTGTTGTCTGTGTTTGTGTTTTTGTATCTGTGTCCGTGTTGTTTTTGTGTTTTAGGTCTGGGTCACTTGGCCCCTGTGCGAGGGATTACTCCGTTGGAGTCGTCCCACATTACCTCGTTGGGGGTCGTTCCACATTACCTCGTTGGGGGTCGTTCCGCAGTTAGGTCGTTGGTGTTGTGTTATTGTGAGTTTCTTTTCTAGCGTTGCTAGTCGTCTCTAGGCGGTCTTTTAGACCTGTCCTCCCAGTTTTATTCAGCTGTTGGCTGTATTATTCAGCCATGGGTTGTGTACTTTGCACATTTGTGCGTTTTTGTTATATAATATTTTCTATCGTTTCGGAAAAAAAAAAATCTCTTTCAAATTTGAATGTGTGATCTAATTTGCTATGTTTGTTACCTTTGATTGTTTAGTTATTTATTATTTTGTTTTTTGCAATTTACTTCTATAATATATTTATTCAACTAATTACTTTCGTTTTTATTTTCAAGAAATACAAAGATTTTTCAGATTGAATCTCATTGGTGAGATTTATGTTACATTTTGTAATATTTTTTAGGCATGAGATAATCAAAATTTATTATATGCGATTTATTTTAATTACATTTTTAAAAAAGAAATATAAATTTGGATCAGATTAAAAACAACATTATTAAAAAAAAAAAATAGTAAGTGATTTTAAATTTGCAAGTCAACTCAGCTGTAAAAATAATATCAAGTCAGTCGTAATTGAATTAATTGAAAAACTGAATTCTTGAGTTTGTGCGATTTGAATCCCAAGTAACACCAAAAATAAATTTTAAAATTGCCACAAATCATTATCACACGCGTGAGATATTCTCCAGTTAAATTTTAAACAACATTTCCAAAACTGGTAAGTCAAATATTTGACCCAAATTTTTCAACTTTTTATTACTGATTTTTCCATCAACCTCTTTCAATATGCATGGATTTTATATTATATATTTACACTTAATTAATATTTATTTATTTGCAAAGATACAAAATCATCTCAACATATTTGTACATATACTAGAATTCAAATTGAAGTCAAATTATCCTTAATTAAGCAACGATACAAAATCATCTCAACATATCACCTCTCCCTATTCATTTCTTTTCATTTTTCTTCTTCTTCTACTTTCCATCTCTCCCTCCTTCGTCCAGTTCCAAATATAAGGAAGTCCCGATTCAGCGAAGCCACGAGATGCGGCGCGATTCACGAGGCTCGGACCCCTAAATTGGTGGTTGACTCGAGAAGACATTATTGTGTTTCACAGCGGGACCAGACAGTTGGCGTAGTCCTGGGCTTTGCACACAGTGGGCATCGTGTGCTTTACGTGGCACACGACGTCGGATTCGCGACATGTTCTAAGGTTTTAGTTATAGGCATTTTTTTTATTAGTTTGAATTATAGTTTCTTCTTTTAAAGTGGCNCCTTATTTTAAAGCTCACGCAGCCAATCTAAAAAAAAACCTATGCCTTTCCCAACAGAAAGCATGTTGAAAAATAATTAGGCCCAATTCAACCCAAGCTCAGTTTCTTTTTTTTAAAAAAAAACAAAGAACTAAGAAGCGGGGCTGGCCCGCCGAGCCCTTGGCTCGTAGCAGGACGAGTTGGGCCAGCTTTTCACATCTTGACAGGCCAGCCTGCCCCGCCAAAAGCGGGCTTTGGCAGGCTACGATTTGGCCCGCTCCGTCGATCCGTTTTGACGGTTTATATAGGAATTTCACACGAGTCATTGGAGAAGTGTTGCATCAGTGTTGATGAGAAAGCAAAACGTGGCGAAAGCCAGCACACGTGGCACCTTCATAGAGAATAGGTCTGCATGGGGAGCTGAAATCATATTCCCTTTTCGGTTCTCTGCTCCTCACTTCAAAAATAAAAAGAAGAAAGCCTCACGGCAAAGCATCTTGTTTATCAAAAAACGGCTTAAATCAAAATTCCGTAGACAGCCAAAGCAACAACACCACAGTCAGTTGAGACATAATGAAAGGAGGAGCTCTAACGTACGCCGGGGTCTTAGCGACCACGCTCACACTGCTAACCTGCGCCTTTGGCCTGCAATACGACCCAAAGATCCTCCAGGTGACCGGCAACCACCTCCTTGGCACGGCGGTGGAGCTCAAGTTCAAGACCTTCATGGCGGAGTATGGAAAGGAGTACGCATCTCGCTCGGAGTACCTGCACCGCCTGGGGATCTTCGCCGGAAACCTTATCAGGGCGGCAGAGCACCAGGCGATGGACCCCACCGCCGTCCACGGCGTCACCCAATTCTCCGATCTCTCGGAGGAGGAGTTCGAGGGCACGTATTTGGGGGTGAAGGGCGGCACCGCCACCGGGAGGCTGGAGAACGCGGCGGCGGCGGCGGCGGAGATCGAGGTGGGAGATCTGCCGGAATCTTTCGATTGGAGAGAGAAAGGTGCTGTTTCTGAAGTGAAGATGCAGGTGAGATCATTTGATTTTGTTCTTTTCTAGCCTGGAGCTAAAATTGTGACAAATTTGGAAAAGACAAAGTTGAAAAATTGGGGAAATTGTTTCTATTGCCCTGAAGATAAAGTTGAATAATAAAAAAAGAGACTCCAATTTCTACATCTATTTAGGAATATTTAATGGCGGATTTATTTTTTTTATTTTTGGTTGATTAATGAAGGGTACTTGTGGGTCTTGTTGGGCATTTAGCACAACTGGAGCAATAGAGGGATCGAATTTCATCTCAACAGGAAAGCTTTTGAACCTTAGTGAGCAACAGCTCGTCGATTGCGATCATACGGTATTTGCATTGCAAATTTAATTTTACACCCACCAAATCAAACTTGTACTTGTGAACAGTAAAAATTAATTTACTGTATTTGCGCATATATAGTGTGATGTGAAGGAGAAGAGAGCTTGTGACGACGGGTGCTCGGGAGGCTTAATGACGAATGCGTACAAGTACCTAATCAAGGCCGGTGGCATAGAAGAGGAGACTTCGTATCCTTACACCGGTAAAAAAGGGGAATGTAAATTCAATTCGGAGAAAGTGGCGGTCAAAGTCACGAATTTCACCAATATTCCTATTGATGAGGATCAAATTGCTGCGTATTTAGTTCGTCACGGACCCTTAGCAGGTATTTTCTTTCTCGTGAATCCATTTGTCATATGCGCGAAAAAAAAAAAAAAAATGTATTTGTTTGGTAGTGAAGTTTAATCTAAGGTTAAATTACTAGTGTTGGTATGAAATGCACTACTCATAAGAACTAGCCTTTAACAAATTCGGTAATATTTTTCAAATCTGTTAATGCCTTAAAGTGCTTTTTTGTTGGTGTTTTATGCTTACTGTCAATATACCTTGTTATATAAGTAAATGAAATTGGCAGTGGGCCTAAATGCCGTGTTCATGCAAACGTACATCGGTGGCGTCTCGTGTCCGTTGATTTGTGGCAAGAAGTGGGTGAATCACGGTGTCCTTCTGGTGGGCTATGGCTCCAGGGGTTTCTCCATATTGAGACTGGGGAACAAGCCTTACTGGATCATCAAGAACTCGTGGGGCCCACGTTGGGGAGAGCAAGGGTACTATCGTCTGTGCCGGGGGCACGGGATGTGTGGGATGAACACCATGGTATCTGCTGTCATGACACGTGTCTCCTAGTCTAACTGCTCGTTTCATTTCAAATGAACTTGTTAGAAAAATCAGTTATGCAAAATTGCGTTTGATCTTGGTTTTGACTGATTTTTTCATGGCTAAATGTTTAATTTGGGTTATTAGTATAAAATGAACTACTCAGAACTAGCCTTTGACTAATTAACAAATTCGGTAATATATTAAAATAAATACGCATGCTCATGATATAATAGCTGCAAGCCTGAATAATGTTTTCATGGAATAAGGAAAGAAAAAGAACACCAAACTCTCAGTTATCATTCAGAATATTTTCGATGTGCTGAAATTCAAACAAGTTAATGCTATCAACAGGGAAAAAGATAAACTAATTCTGCCACAAGTGTGCAAAAGGCTTCCCTTTCTGACACGTCATCACGCACTCTACAACAATTTGTCTCAGTTGTTCTTCGACATCTTCAATAGGGAGAGTTGCATCCACAATCTACAATAAACAAACTCAAAAAGCTGAAGACAAACGTACAAGCTGAAGTTTTTCTCCCAAGAATCACTTTAATAGTTTAATTAGACAAAAACAAAAGGCACGGTGTAGAGCTCAATACCTTCCATGTCGAGTCCTGAAGTGTTGTATACGATTGAGCAACAATTTTCTGAAAATCGAGCTTCTCATACCGCTCACCCCCATAACCTCCTCTTTCGGCAGCTTTCTAAATTTTTTATAAATGAGTTATTAAGTTAGCTTGGAAAACTTTACTTATATAGGAAACCCACTGTAACTAGAAAAGAACACATAATTGACACAAAGTGATTATACGCTCATGAAGATAACAATCCAGACAAGTTACCTCGAAGAGTTTAATACACCATGTGATTATATGCATTTGTAACACAAAGTGATTATACGCTCATGTGATTTAGTATTAAGAAAAGTGTACATTAAACATCATATACCTCAGGGGATATGTCTAGGTAGATAACTACGTCTGGAGCTAGCAATCCTGCCTCTGGAGCCTGCAAAATTCAAGAGGGGCATAACAGAACATCATGACTCATGAGTAACAAAAACTAAAAAGNCGAATATGAATGTGGCAACCAAAAAAATAAGCACACAAACAACACACACACACACACACAATAATTGCACCTTGCACCACTTCATATCAAGTCCCTTTGCAGATGAGAAAGCAACCCCAGAAAAAGAATAACGGTCAACAATGAGTGTGGTTCCACTCCTCAGCTTAGATTCCATTAGCAATCTGTGAAGCCAGTCACACATCCATTAAAAAACATTATGGATTGGTAAAAGAAGAAATGGACAGAAACTTTTTAATAATTCATAGCAATTTGTCAAAGCATCTTACAGGATGTTAAACCATTCAATACACAAGGGAAGAATAATCGATCATCTGTTGGCTAGACTATCAACATACTGAACAGGAACAGAAAAGAAAAGAGAACAATCATTCTTTCAAACATTGTAATTTTAGAAAATGAGAAGATGCAAGTTTTTTCAGCTTCTACAAGAACCAATATCTTTATCCAGCTGAATCATGTGGGTTTAGCAGAAAAGGATTTAATGATTCCTGATGGACAAGGATACGTTCCACAACCCACATAAAAAATAATAAAAGAAATGTATCTTAGACTATCTAAGTTATTATTCGAAATGGGTAGCTAAAAGAAGCTTGCTAAGTTACAAGGTTTCCCGAGTTGTAAACACGATCAAACCAAGTTCAAACTTTGAGTAGTTGGGCCAACTCGTCTCAAATAACAGCTATATTAGTACATGCTCCAACATTTCAAGGTCCACCACTAACAAGGCTAACAACATAATTGCATTACTCATGTACTTGATAATGAAAAAGTCTCACCGTTGGCAGGAAAACAAAATGCTAGTTGATAAAGTATATTTATTAAACAGGGCCTGAAGTTAACAACTCAGAATCCATGTCTGCACAACAAATATTAGAAAAGATTAATGCATGGTCAAAGAAAGTAAACACTGACCTCTTCTCCCAACGATTTGCACTGAAGAGAAGATGAATTGCACGATCATCTAAATTCGATTGGTTGGCTAGATAGGAAGAGATCATTTGCCCAACACCTGTATATCTATCAGGATATCTCCATAGTTCAATGGAGTGCCCTAACTCTTCTAAGTAAGAGTGCAACCTTCCACATTGGGAGGTCTTTCCACAACGATCTAGACCTTCTAGAACAATTAACGCACCCCTTGAGCTAATTTTGTCACTAGTTGCCATGTGAATTTGTCTAAAACAGCACTTGGGGCGGTATGGCAAAGTGCAATGAGAACTTGGAGACTGTCGTACAGTTACTGCAGCAAAATTTCTGAAAGACACGGCATGTATTGACCAACAATCAGTATCATTATAAACATTTGATATTTTAGGAAAAAGAGAGTACAAATTGACAAATACAATCAAATTATCAAACTCCACATAATAAGAGGAAATGCAAAACTCATAAAAGTCCTAGGCAAGGGATGAATTCAATTACTTTGAATTTTAAAATTGCAATCTTTTTATTTGGAAACTGAAGAATTCTTGACTTCAGCTGGAAAAAAGTTATATGAGAACGGATTGAAATTTGAACTTTGATAACAAACATTCCACCAATGCGTTTCATCAAATAACTTAATAGCACGCCTTTTACTATGGCAGACAACCCATTTTCCTCACAAAATCAACAAGTCAAGCGAAGATTAAAAAAAGCTATATATAGCAAATGAGTGTGAAATTGGACTTACAAAGTCTTTAAAAAGGTGGAGCGGTAAGCATTTGTCATGCCCTGTCTTTGTAAACCCTATACATTATTTCTCAACTGCATAAAAAAAATACCAAAAAATTGCATATCAAGACGCTAAGACCAGAACTGATAATTAGATAATGCATAAATCAACTAAAAAAGGTGATGGCTTTGTATTCAGGGAAGGATATATTCTAGGTAAGACGATGCTAAACTATGAAGCTATCTATAGTTCTATAACTGTATTGTGTATACTAACAGTCCAAAAATGGTTGATGTCGACGAGTATGGTGTCGGACGACGCCGTCTGATGCCAGTGAAGAAATTAGGTCAACAAAAAGACCTAAAGCTCAAGTTGGCAGGCCTAAAGCTCTGAAATTTCCGCAGGCCGCGGGAAGCTCTGGTCGCGGGTCGCCGGACGGTCGCGGGTTGCCGGACGGTCGCAGGGCACGGGTGCTGAGCAGTCCGAGGCAATGAAATTTCCGCTGGTCGCATGTGGAATTGAGGAAAGAATTGAAGATGACTCTAATTTCAATTGACCATTATGCCATCAATTGCTTCACTCATTTGGGATTCTTTTAGGACCTTTTTTACTTTACTCATTTGGGCTTGTTTTTGGTCTTTTATTTAAATTTTCATTTTGGACTTGTTTCTTGCCATTTTCGCTTGGGCCGAATGAAGTTGAAATTCCAATAATCGGTCAGGGTTCTGAACTTACACACCTCCAACAACAAAAAGGCACAAGAACAAGTGAAAAACAAAAGAAAACACAAAAAAACTAAAATAAAATAAAACAAACGAAAAACGATGAGGTGGACCGAAAAATTTAAGAAAATGCCTGAAATTGAAAAAAAATACTAGAAAACAATAATAAAAAAAAAACAACAAAAATAGGACAAAAAACTCCCCCACAAGTAAATGTCTGTTCGTCCCGAATAAAAAGAAAATAAATGAAAACAAATAATCGAGCATGGACAACAATTTCAAATAAGAAGGGTCTCAAATTGATTAACTTAGTCGAGGTGAGTTTCAATGACCACAAGAGCACACCTCTATTACTAACTCGGTTACTATACTTTGGAAACAAAGACTCTCAAGCACGATAATATAATATATGGCTCACTAATCTTTTTACATAAATATGAGATATGTACGCTCAAATTGATTGTCAATAAAGTATAATCATATGCTTCCCTATCGTCTAATCGTTCACTCTAAAACAATCAAAGTAAAGAACAAATGAACCAAAAGAAATTTCTGGGTTGTAGCGTAAGCTCTTTGGATCAGGTAAGATAAACATAGGCTAAGTGGCTCAAATATGTAACATCTCAACTCAAACACCCAACATGACCATATGCTCTTTCGGTTGTTCAACCTAACCAGCTCTATCCTACACTCTTCAAGTCCAACAATTTCCCCAATGAATTATTATTATTATTATTATTATTATTATTATTATTATTATTATTATTATTATTATTATTATTATATATTTTCGGTAGAAACCTTTTGGACATTTTATCTAGGTATAGATTTCGGGTTTTCTCAACGAGTCTTCTAGACCGTCTTCCCGTACTCATTACTCGAAACCATAATAATTAACAGTCGGAGCACTTGGCGTATAATTCGTATAGTTCCAATGATTTTTTTTTACAAACAATATCAATATCCACAACTTCAAACATCTCAAAACTCATCACCTCCATTTCTATAACTCTGTGACTCCAGTCAGAGCACTTGAAGTATAGTTTAATATCCAAAAATAGATGATTTTCTATATTGATAAATATCTCCTCATGGCTTAGTACGACAATGATACAAAATCAACACCGTTGGTAGATGTAATTTTCCATATTCAGTTTTAATTTCCAAAAGCCAGTCAACATAACCACCTCAAAGATTGCAATTAATCTTGTTCCTCCTAAACATTTTCTTAATTAGATTAATAATACGATTTCTACATAAAATTATAAAAGAATAAATAAATTAAAAAAAAAATGTGCTTACTCAAAGCCCATAAGAGAAAATAGTCGTTTATGTTGCGTCCCCATCAACCTCTTTCATTTGGATTGATTAAATTTCAACCACTAACCAAATAACATCTATAGAGAAACGTTAGACAAATTTACTAAACAGTACTGTTTGATCTTGACAAACACCATGACGAAGAGTAACAAAACTCCGCAAATCAAACCGAAAAAGGAGAAGTCGCCTTTGAACTTCACCAAATTCGTCATACATTGGAGGACAATTTAATATGGGCAATTGTGAGCCTAAATGAGCCAACTTTTTATTCAAATTGGTAATTTATAATTCAATAGATATGTCCTTCTTTAACGCTGTTGATTTTCCGTGATTCATGTTGATAATATTTTGTTAAGATAAATATGAAAATATATTTTAAGTTCTAACCATAATAATAATTTTTTTCACAAATATTCACTTTTTATCCTTAAATATTTACAGAAAATCGTAACATGATAGGTATAATTTTTTCTTCCACTTAATTAGGCGAAATCAAATTGATGAACTAATCTTTGCCAGTATGTTTTTTTCTTAAGCTTTATTTCATTATATATAAAAAATAAACTATTCTTCAAATTAATATAATTTACAATTTAAGAGATAATAACCATATACATTAAATAGTTTTTCTAATGGTAAAAAATTAAAATTGAAATATATTAGATGTTATGTCAACCATATTTAATTTCTTTGTTATCATTATCTTGATTTCTTTTTGTAATGAAATTCTTGTAAAATATATTTCCATTGCAGAGTATGCTAAATAAACTATAAAGTCTTATGATGTAAATTAGAAAAATTTCTTGATTATAGAAGGGATTGGGTTTTTTGAACTTGCTAAATCAAATTTGTTTAATTAGTATACAAATTAAATTATAAAAAATATGTGTGTATATTTTGTAAAGTACTTATACACTATTTAATTTTTAATTTATTTACATAATTTAAATTATTTACATAAATAAATAATACTAATGTTGCATTAAATATTTTTCATTACATAAAATAAAGAGAAAAAGACGTATTGTTTCTACAACTTCTAAAAAAAATAATGACATTATATGATAAAAATATTTATAATAAAATCAAGATTAAGTATTATATGGTGAACAAGAATAAGTAAAACTATTATTTTTCTTATATCAAGGATAAATATATATACTAAAATCAAATTTATATTAGTATGAATGTGTTAGTGAAATAATATATTAATTAATTTATAGGATAGCGGTAACATGCTCATATTTAATGTTCTGGCTAAAAAAACGTTGATTAAAAGAGGTAGAAAATAGATGATCCAACTCTATTGTTTCTTAGGTTTAAACTGATAGAGTCTGTAAAAATGACTCATTTAATGTCTCCGCAACGGCCTACGTACTCGTAAAAATTTAAAAGGCCATAAGTACAAAAGTGTGTAATCGAGTATATATAATAATATCATCTAAATATTTTAGTAAAACACTATTTTAATTTTCAATCCAAGCATGCATAAAATTAAAAAAAAAAATTGTAACTCACCTCCTCGAAATAAGTTTTACAAGAAATAATTTCAATCAATTATTAATAATTATATCTATTCTAGTTATATTTTTATTTTTAGTAATGTGATATCAATAATTTGAGACTAAACTTTTCAAAAATTTACAATCAATTATTCATTTCCTACCTAATATAAAATTTTATTTTATTTAAAAATATAAATTAACGACTATGGTTATGGTATAGGATATCATACCTATAACCGGTCCAACCTGCCGGTCGAATAAATTAAAGGAAAATGTTCTGGTCGAATAGAGTCTAAGCGGGTTGGTTATGGTCGAGGATCACGACAGCGAGAGCCTCAGGAGAACAAGCCGGTCTTAGCTTTGTGGAATACCTGGTCAAGGAACTGACTGATCGAGCAAATAGTCATACGATCGACCACTTCACATGCCAAGAGCAACCCAATGATTTATCCAGATTTAGTCGAGCATAAGAGCGTCAGAGGAATTTTTACCCACGTGCGTGGGGACACATGGCGTGGCTTGATTGGCCTATGTAAATAATTGTTTCTGACACACCTACACTGTGGGTTGTACTATTGGGCAAGCTGGGCAGCCAGCTCAGCTGACCCGGACAGCTTCTAGAACATGTACCTCACCCTTATATATAGGGGTGAGCCTTATGATTTTACATAACATTCTTATAGTTCTTCATTCTTATCACAAAATACCATAATACCTTGAGATTGACTTGAGCGTTGGAGGCTCTTCACCGAAAAATCCCTCCGGTGTGAGAGTTTGTATAGGTGTTCGGCGCTCTACCGGCAAGGACAGCAAGGGCAAGGCGGTTCTTAGCCGATCGGAGTGTTGGACCTATATTAGGTTATAAATTAACAACTCCAATGATAATTATTTTTAAATTTATAAAAAATGCAAAATTTAAAATAACATAATTCAAAATATTTCTAATATGAATTATTATAAATTATAAAGAAATTAAAATAATTTTAATGCAATTAAAAGATAGTAAATTTTATAACTTTAAAATGATATAAACTGCAGTATTTTTAAATTAAATATCAATTTTTAATATTTGCCACATATTTTTAACTTTACCATCATTTATTAGGAATTGAAATAGCATATTATAATAAGGTATGAATAAGAACACCCACATTGGTGTGGTTGGATGCCCATTTATATGCTTCCACATAATTCACAAAGATGAGTGCATTCATTTGATGGAAAAAAAGGCCCCACTAGCTGCCATTCAATACCTTGAATGCATTTTATTACCATTTTTATTTTATTATATTTATGAATAAAATATAAAAATAATATTGAATGAGTGGATAGTGTGTCTCATATGTTTGCATTCAAATGATTCAACTAATGCAAGAGAGTGTTTAAGTGGAGAGATATTTAGTGAACATGATGTGAATGAGAGATAATGTAGTTGGTGACTAAATGAATGAGAATGAATTAGGGCATTTTTGGACCGAAAACTGATCCGAACCGTACCGAACCGACGAGAAAAAAAAAAACCGAACCGAACCGCTCACTTAAAACGGTAATCGATTATCGGTTATCGATATGTTATCGGTACGGTATTGGTCCGAAACCATAGCGGTTCAGTTTTACCGAACCGAACCGAACCGATAAGGAATTTAAAAAAAAATACTTAATGTAATAGTTAATAACTTAATACTAATAACTAATAAGTAATAACTTATGTTATATAGCTTGTGAATGCATAACAAAGCAAGCAGCTTTTGTATATAATTACTAAGCAATATTCAGGACGTGAAAACCGTCATAAGCAATATTCAAGAAATTCAACAATTGCCGACATTTATTCTGGATATTGGATGCCCTGTTCGCGGATAAATTTCCTTTAGCAAAAGTCGTAATATGCTCGACCACTTTGCGTATCTGTGGATTAATTTTATGGTTTGTATATTTCTATTAATCACTGTATAAGTACAATGATGAGTATTAATTTCATGAATGCTCATCTCACCCATTAAAAAAATAAAAATAAATAAATCGGCCCTCTCATTTATTATTGGCAAATTTCAGTTTTTTCGGTAGGAACCGTTACCGAACCGAGTTATTGTTAACCGAATTTTCGGTTACAGATTACAAACGGTTCGGTAACGGCTTCATATTTGTAGTTACCGAAATAATCAGTTCGGTATCAGTTTGGCCATATTGGTTCGGTAACCGAACCGATACCACCCCTAGAATGAATGCAGATGCGAGAGATGGAGAGAAGTATTTTTGTGAGTATTATTTATAGATATTTTTTTAAGAGAAATGTTGTAAGTACGTAATTGTACATAGGGGTGTACATAACACTCACAATAAGTGGGCCCGACGAAAAATAAAAAATCAAGTGGACCCCACTCCATGTGAGTGTTATGTACACCTCTACGTACATTTATTATGTACTTGTAGTATTTTTTTTTTTTTTTAATATGTATATATAAAAACAATGTATTAAACTATTCTATATCATTAAAAAAAAAAGGATAAATAGCTTTGCACGCTCATGAGTAGTACTAGTCTACTAGATGTAACTTTTAATTAATATTATACTAATCAATATTTTTTTAATGTATTATTTTTGTTAATCAATATTTTTCATCCTGCGTACTAGTATAATTAAATCATAATATAATATTCCAATGTTTTTTTAATATTTCTTCCAATGTTGAATAAAGTAATATTCCAGACTGACTAGGATTCTTTCTTCTGAACTATTCCAAAATAACATTTTGTTTTCCAACTAAAGATGATTTTCTCGCAAGAAATTCCTGTATCGCTATATCAGTTTTTATTGCAGTCGTATTTCGTACACTTAATACTAGTACGTAACCCGTGCGATGCACGGGATGTAAAATTTGGAAGAATAATATAACCTCACATGCATTAGGATCGAAATTGAAATGGTTAAAATACATAGAAACATTGTTGAATTATAAAAAGTTCGGTAACAATTATATATTATTAAAAACCTCCTTGTACACAACATTATGAGTTTGATTATTTGGTAACTCCTCATTATCACAAACTAATATTTTCAAAAGAGACAAATTCTAAAAATCAAACTAATATTTTTGGTGAACAAACTAATATTTTAGGATTGGTGAACAAACTAATATTTTAGGATTTCTAGAATTTGTCTCTTTTTGGTGAACAAACTAATATTTTGTTTAGATTTTTTGATTTGGTTTGGTTAATTTTGAAAAAAGGTGGTATGGTTAGTTGTTAGTAGGTATATTAAAATAATATTTTAAATAAAATATATAAAATTGATTTGATGTAAAAGTAAGAGAGAGAGATTTGAAGTGATGGTTAGTTAAAATAATGTGAGTACATGAATAGTGAATTAAGGTTGATGTGATGTGTATGAATGATAGATTGATATTATTTAATTATATTGATAATTTTAATGATAGTGGGGTTGAGTTAAAGTTGAGTTAAAAAAAGTGGTTGAGTTAAAATGTTGGAAATTTTTTGAAAATTTTCATAAACAAACATACTCTAATATTTTAGGATTGGTTATATGAATAAAGCTACCTGTTTTTGGTGTTCTTTTCATTCATTTTCATTCAAACAATCCGATAACTTGTATAATGAAATCCAAATCTTAAGCCGAAATATTTAAAAAAAAAAGAGTTTTTAAAAATTGAAAATTTAAGGCAATCAGTTCAGATTTTAATTAAAGGTCAAAGAATATCCGCTCCTTGAAATAAAGACATATGCTATCATTAACCAAATATCCGGTTATTGATATAGAGTGGTTACAAAAAAATAGAACGCGATAAGGACGCTTCGTGGAAATATCAATGGGGTAAGGTCATAACAGATCGCTATACATTTTAACGATAAAAGCTCAGATGGAATGATTTATGATAATTATATTGTAATTAATGAATTAATTAGATGTGATAATTATATTGTAATTAATGAATTAATTAGATGTGTGAAAAGGACATAATTAATGAGAAGTGTGAAAAGGACATAGTATGAAAAGGACAAAAGATTACTATTTTAGATAAATGTTAATTCTTATTATATAAGTATAGATGCACAATTTATTGTATTTGGACAAAAGAAAATCTACAACAGCATCAAAATTCAAAAGCTGTGGTCCTGTGCCAATAAACCACGTGTCTAAGACATAGTGGCATTTTTGTGAATTTTTTTTTAATATTTTCCTCTCACTAAACCCAATAAATATCCAACAAACCACATCTTCACACTTCATTATCTCTCTCAATTACCCCACACAGCACACAGTTTATGTTCTAAACACACAGTCTCTCGCTCTGCACATAGATTCAAAATCCAAACACATTAAAAAATTCATAAAAAAAAAGCTTATATTAATAATCGAAATACGCACACACCTAAACACGCGCACTAAGTCTGAGGATGTTTTCGATTATGCGGAGCAAGAAAAGGGGTTCGATTCATCCGAGTTCGTCGTGTACAAGATCCGATGATGTTGATGATGAAGGGCTTAGATTAATCCTCAAAAAACGAAATTCGAATAATATTTTGGTTAATAAACCCATTCTCTTGCACGATCAAATTTCGAAGCCTACTTGTGATCAATTAAATTATTGCTATCTCAAATCGTGTCATCTTTGCCGCAAGCCTTTGAGTATGGATAAAGATATCTATATGTACAGGTGGGCTTATTTTGAATTTTTCAAATTGATGGCCAATAATTATTTTTTGTGTGGACGAAAAAAAAAAGTTGCAATGTTTTAAATAGTTCTTAATTTTTGTGCAAATTGCAGTGATTTGGGATTTTGCAGCGTGGAATGCAGAGTGAGGCAAATTGATCTGGACGAGACGAAGGAGATTGAGATGTCAGCCCAGATGATATTATCAACTTTGCGGCAGCGCAGCCGCCCCGACGGCGGCGGCGGACGGTGCGAAACCCGCCGGATCTTGGAGGATTTACGGATGCGCCGCGGCGCTATTACGGAGCAGGAGAGTCCGGTTATTTTCTTGTAGAGCAAGCAGGAATTTTTTCTTTTTGTTACTAATATTTTTCTCTTTCCAACTTTTTTCTTTTTCCTTTTTTTCTATATTTCTTTCCTTTCTTTTCTTTCTGGTTTGGGGACCCATGTTTTGGGTTTGTGAGTTTTGGTGGCCTTTAAATTTTTGTTCATCTGTTACAAACTTACAAAACTTACAAACATCTTTATATATTCAAAATTAGCAAAATAAAGAAGAGAATTTGTTTGTATACACTTGAGTTGATTTATGAAATTTTTGTAATCACCGAGGTATTAATTGTTATGATTTTGAGAGATTCTACGGTCCCGTTACGGAACTATTCGGTCGAGATTTGTAACCGTAAGATCATCTATCCACAACGGTTACATGATGATCTAATGGCTACAAATCCCGACGGAATGGTTCCGTAACCAGACTGTAGCATTTCTCTATGATTTTATTTGGCAACTGTCTGTAACTTCTTATTTGTTTCAAAAGTTGACGTGGTCCGAAGGATAAATAAATAATAAAAGTTATAATATAATTTTATTTTGTTCAAATATTTATAAAATAAAATAATATATATAAATATTCAATGGAAATTATTTTCATAAGCATTGCTTATCTATCATTATATTAAAAGATTAACCATTTAACACTTTTAACAAGTTTTTCCCGCCAAATACATTTAATGTCTCCTTAAAATAGAGCAGCATTAAATGTTGCCCTTAAATGGTAAACAAATATTACTTTTTTATGATTGATTTAAATTTAAATTTACGTCTGTTTAAAAGTAAAAAACTACTTTTGTAATTTCAACAAATTTGTACTCTTTGCGGCTAATTTAAAATTAAGAATTTACTTTTGTATTTTCACAAAAAATTGTATAAAGAAGTATTGCTAGAATAATAATAAAAAATTAATTTGTTAAACCATATTTTGCACTCATAGATACGAATTCTCATCAAATTCAAGATTTAAAATTGTGAAGAATGTATATAGATGTGGACTGATTGAAGATATATGATTCCTTAAATTAAGGAATTTTTTCTGGTAAAAAAAAATATAAACTTTAAATATAGATTTTATTAGTATTGTATACCAAAGAATATTGTTACATTTAAAATTCATATGAAGAAGAATTCTATTAATTTTCAAATTCAACATCTCATAAAAATAATATAATACACTTTTACATTCTATGAAATAATATTTAAAACCCACCGTTCAACATGCATAAAATGTAAAATTACGTAACATGAATCATTTTAACTTTCTAAAATCAGTACACAATTCGCTTGGTATGTACTAATAGTCTAATAGTTAAGAGTTAATATTTGTTATGACATCTATTGGTTGGAAAGAATTCCATTTTGTATGGAATTCGAAATGAAAAAACATATTCTGAAAATCAAATTTGATTTAGAGATCGATTTTTTAATGACCTTAAATTATGCAAATATATTGTTTCAGTTTTTAGGATTCTTTTTTATGATCTCAGTCTTTGCATTATATGAAATCTATACTTATATAAAAAGTCATCCTATTTACTAGAAATAGTAAGAAGAAAAGTCAAAGGTAATTAATGCTTGCTGGAAATAGAATGATATTAATTACAAATTTGTTTTGGTATTTATAGGCTTGACATTAAAGATTTGTTATGGGATAAAAATCAGAACCGATTTTTTTACCTTTGCTGGAAAAGTCAAAGGTACGTATAGATTTGTTTTATCCCATAACATCGGTTTAGTTAAGAAAATCCCATCAAATCAGTTTTATATGTCAAGCCTATGAATAAATATTTAATGGGTCAAAATTAAATCCTTATTTTACGTCACCCATAAATAAAGTAGATGTCAAGCCTAAATTGAAGGGTTTAGTTGTCTATATATTGATTTAAGTAAACACAATTAATGTTTAAAGTTTGTGTAGATTGAAAATTTCTTCTTATCTTTTTACAAAAAATCTTATTATTATTGTATGGAAAATCAAACTCATAATGTTGTGTACAAGGAGGTCTTTAATAATATATGATTGTTTGTTTGTCGAATACTATCTTATGTACAATTTTCCTGCGTATTATAAAACTTTTATTGAATATTGCATCTTATAATATAGTATTCCTCAAATAAATATATCCCGTGTCTCGCACGGGTCACGTACTATATATATCCCGTACATTTTTCTGTATTCATGCATATAATTATAAGTCTGGATAAATAGCCTTAAAATTGTGCACCCCGTGCATCGCACGGGCTCTGTACTAGTTTGATTAGAATTTTATTTATCATATTTATGGCAATAAAAGCATTGTTAATACCGAAATATATGTTTGGTTTCAATAATGAATTGTATGTGTTCAATTGTATGTGTTGATGATCTACCGCCAAGGATTTTTGGTTACGTTTTAATAGGCGTTTTAATCAGGGGTTGCAGAATAATTAATACAAGGATTGTGATGAATTAAGATGAGAAATTTTTATTCATTACACATGATTGTTCAAATATTGCAAAATTATCATTCATGCACAATTAGTTGTGTATATACCTAATAGATAATAATTAATTACATTGATGCCTAAAAGTCAGTTACAGATCCGTGTCAACCTCCATTCTATATTTGATAGTAACAATCCTACGGAAAAAAAAAGGACCCCGAGATTCCGACAGCCAGTTGCTCCTAGAAAAAAAAATCCCATCCGAAAGTTCCCAAAATTCCGTCATCTCCCTCGGCAAGAAGGAGCGCCACCAATTTCCAATGACAATTAGGCCATGCGCGCGGCGAACCACGAACACCAGAAACCCCGATTTCTGGCAAGGAGAATCGACCGCACCCGAGATGCACCAAATTTCGGCGAGTACCAAGAGCACCAGGCCATTCACGGCGAGGCAGGCACACTCCAACTACAGCCCTCAGCCGAGTTATGCACGCCTGCTTCGTGTGTGACCGTGGCCATGTTCCAAGACACGGGTTTTTCTGGCCACAAGCCCACGAAAGTCCATATTTTAAAAGAAAGAAAAAAAAATATGGTGAAAAAGAAAGAAAATATGACCAACTGGACTCTGCTCAACCACCGTCGGAGACCTTTTTGCATGCTCGTCTCATCTACATGATCATCCTATTACAAAACAAAAATAGGTTCGGATAATATACAACATATATATGGAAAATATACCACAAATATACTCTATAAAAGTTTTTAAAAAACAACACAATCAATAATAATATATATACAAAAAATACACAATATAATATACCTAGGATCATACCGATCCTTATGATTTTCAATTCACATCTTTCGCCCAGACCCATCCAGTGCAAAAACAACACACTCAATAAACAATATATACAGTATATATACTTAGGATCATACCGATCCTTATGATCTTCAATTCAAATTTTTCACCCCCAAAACTCGACCTAATCTGTGGTGTTTCGCTGATAACCCCGTCGCTCCTGACCACTTCAATGAAGACGAGGACCTCCTCGACGACAAGGAATTCTCCGATCACGACGAAGACGAGTCCGCCTCCTCCTCCGCCCTCGCCGTCGATCGCCCTCTCCCATCCACCTCCGACGCCCAGATCACGATCGGCGTCCCTGGAGTCCCCGATCCCCACCTGAGCCGCCACCCCCGCCACCACCACCAGTAGTAGATGTTGGAAATCGTCATCGCCAAAAAGCCGAGTCCCACCGGACGAGTTCCGCAAGCTCTTCCAGCACTTGCGGACTGAACAAATTAAAAAATTAATTTGAAATAAAAGAGCAAGAAGATGAAGAATGGCCGTTAGAGAGATGAAGCTTTCTTCTCCGAAGGGTAATGACGAGGAGAAAGAAATGGGTTACTGAAAATATGGGAACGTTTGACTTGGTAAGGTATTTTTGAAAATAAAAACACTAGATTCTGTTGATTTGCTAATATTTACAAGGTTGTTTTATTTATGTAATATAAAAATATACGTATCGCATAGGCTGCAAATTTCTCATTGCAATAAAGTCAATAAAAGAAACTGAAAGGGAAATATACAGAATTAAAAGACAAAAATTTTATTGATTTGTGGGTGAGAGTATGTGTATGGTATTTACATATGATTGTTGTTGTTTTTCTGTGGTTCATGTTTTTTTTTAGGGGCATGAGTAGCCGTATTTATATAAGAATAAAGGTAAAGATGCAATAAATGTTATACGCCAACTAATAGCGTAGAGATGCGTCGCGTGTTTGCATGCAAGATCTCGATTTTTTATGATGGGGCAAATGGGCGGTCGCTTTATCATTATGCTTTAATGGTTTTGAGTCCACACAGGGGAGATCGTCATTCTTCCTAAGGAATATACAAGGTTGGATCGACATTTTTGAGGAATCGACTTAGGAAGATACAAGGGGAGGCTCTTCAAAACCTCAACGCTGGAGACGTCATGACGTCGCGCTTAGAAGAGAACTAGAATATGCAGATCGACTCTTGGCAGAGGTGGGCGAGGACGGTCAAGGAAGGTCCATGGTTTCGATTACCTTGGACTTCGGGAAGGCCCTTGGCATGTGTTGAGTCTTGAAGTGTATCTATGAGAGGCATGAAGTTGGCTTTATGAATAAGGTCTTGGATTGGAAGAATGAGTGGTTGGATCTATATTATAGCATCCAATACGCCATGCCTGATGAAGATGAAGTCTTCGTGCTTGAGAAAGAGGCGTCGTATTTTGACTTGTCCGTCAAGCCAATGTCGAGGTGGGTCTCGGGTCTGAACGAGGCCAAGCTCATCGAGGTGGACTCCTCTTCTGATGATGGCGGGGCTGTTGAGGAATGAGTCATCCAGTCGCGACCTTGAGTTTAGGAAGGAGTGCCCAGGACACTTAAAATCTTTGGTGCGAGCGCTTTGTCCGACTGTAAGGCATCTTGGGAGGAGGCGACGATGAAGGTTAGAGGGATCATGCCTTGAAAGATGAGGTTGGACATCCATCCTTGGTGAGGTCAATCTTATGCTGAGACGATTTTAAAGGTAGCCTCATTTGTGGCTTGATGATGTCTTT